AGGCCACCAAAATTGTCAAGCATGATCTGCCCTTGGTAAACCCATGCTGGCTGTCACCAATCACCTCCGTGTTTTCCATGTGCCTTAGCATAGTTTCCAGGAGGATCTGCTGCATGACCTTGACAGGCACAGAGGTGAGACTGACTGGCCTGTAGTTCCTGGGTTCCTCCTTTTTTTCCCCTTTTTCCAGTCAGTGGGAACTTCCCCAGACTGCCATGACTTCTCAAGTATGATGGAGAGTGGCTTAGCCACTTCATCCATCAGTGTCCTCAGGACCCACAGATGCATCTCATCAGGTACCCTGGACGTGTGCACTTTCAGATTCCTTAGATGGTCTCAAACCTGAGTGGCCAGTTCTTCATTCTCCCAGTCTCTGCCTTTACCTTTTGACTTGGGCTGTGTGGCTGGAGCACTTTCCGATGAAGACTGAGGTAGAAACATCATTGAGTACTTCAGCCTTTTCCATATACCAGGTAACAAGGTCTCCCATTTCCTTCCAGAGAGTGCCCACATTTTCCCTAGTCTTCCTTTTGTCATCAGTGTACCTATAGAAGCTTTTCTTGTTGCCCTTGACGTCCCTGGCCAGATTTAATTCTGTCAGGGCTTTAGCTTTCCTAACCTGATCCCTGGCTGCTCAATTTCTCTGTATTCCTCCCAGGCTGCCTGTCCTTGCTTCCATCCTCTGTAGGCCTTCTTTTTGTGCTTGAGTTTGTCCAGGAGCTTCTTCTTCATCCACGCAGGCCTCCTGGTGTTTTTGCTTGACTTCTTCTTTGTTGGGGCGCATCACTCCTGAGCTTGGAGGAGGTGATCTTTGAATATTAATCAGCTTTCTTGGACCCCCTTTCCCTCCGGGGCTTTATCCCATGGTACTCTACCAAGCAGCTCCCAGAAGAGGCCAAAGTCTGCTCTCCTGAAGTCCAGGGTAGTGAGCTTGCTGTGTGCCCTCCTCGCTGCCCTAAGGATCTTGAGCTCCACCATTTCATGGTCACTGCAGCCAAGGCTGCTTCACATTCCCCACCAGTGTATATGGTGCAAGAGTAGAGACAAAGTGAATGTATTTTATTGTGTCGAGCATGTCTCTTTCCATACCATGGCAAATGGAAACTGTTTCTTTTTTCTTTTTCTCTCTTTTTTTTTTTTTTTTTTTTCCGGCCTCTTGTCCCAACAGATATTGGGGTGGTTCAAGTCCCCCATGAGGACCAGTGCTTGTGAACGTGAGGCTGCTCCTGTCTGTCTATACAGGGCCTCATCCACTCGGTCTTCCTGGTCGGGTGGCCTGTAACAGAGCCCCGCCTCTGAAGTCACCTGTCCCTGCCCGCCCTTTAATCGTGACCCATAAGCTCTTGATTGGCTCCTCATCCATCCCCAGGCGGAGCTCCATGCACTCCAGCTGGTCACTGACATAGAGGGTGACACCCCCTCTTCGTCTCCTCTGCCTGTCCTTCCAAAAGACTCTATCCTGCCATTCCAACACTCCAGTCGTTGAAATCAGCCTACCACATCTCTGTGATGCCAATAAGATCATAGCCCTGCAGGCATGTGCAAGTCTCTAACTCCCCTCGTTTATTCCCCATGCTATGTGCGTTTGCATAGGGACATTTAAGTTGGGCCCCTGATGAAGCTGACTGACTGGCTGGAGTGGCTGGGATTCCTTTGTGCTGCTCTTCAGGTGCTCTCCTGCTGACCTGTGATCCCTCTCCAGGCTCTGGGCATCTACTGCTGGCACTGACCTCAAACTGGTAGGAGTGGGATGGATTCAGGTTCCCTTCCACAAACTCTAGTTTGAAGCTAACTAATACATGATGTAACTAATATGCTTTAACGCATAGAAAATTGCATCAGTAGAACAGGATGGGAGTGCTGATTACCTTTAAATACCATGAGTTCATGGGCACATTTAACAGCACAGTGCTCATACGCTAAAAAAGACCCATACATTTTTATTGTACTTTTTCAGTCTTCAAGTATTTGTTTAACATCAAAGAAGACATATAGCACACATAAGAACATTGTATGCTTTTGTAATTACCTTCTCAAGAGTTTAGAAATTTGGCTACTCTAAATGACAGCAAAATAATGATGATAATAATAAAAAGTAATATAATGCTATGATCTAAATGTGCCTCACAAATAAACTGATAGTAAAACAGTATGTGGTCAATGCTGTCAGCCATTAAATTGCAGTCACCTCTAACATGAAGTATGCAACCAATTTAATCTTGTGCAAACACAAGTTATCATGGAAAGCAGAGTACTCCAAGTGAAATGGCAGGGAGAAAACAGTTATCTGGAATGGAATTTGGCATGGACATGAACATTAATACCCCAGGTTCTTTCATGACAACAAAAGGTCTGCTACCTAGTTTTCCATCAAGTTTAAAATAAGGTGCTTTTATTCCTGATAAAACTGTGCTGAGACATTACTTTACCAGTCTCTAAAGGAAGAGAATTACCAGTTCCACTTGTTGACAGCAATGCTTTGTAAACCTGTGTGTTGGCCTGCCGGACACGTGCTCATCTACCGAACTGCATCACTGAAGCACAGGACTTAGATTCAGCTAAAATTTAAAGCACATGCTTGTTCCACAACAGCTAAATCCAGACTCCTCCCTGACTTACAGCATTGTGCATGCTGAAGCACACATCATTATAAGGTATCTCAAGTAAATACAGGGAAGACAAAAAATAAAGCTGAGAAACTGGTACTGAAAGACAACTTGAAGTAGACATCCTAGATCTGATACAATCTATTTCTCTTCTCACTCAGATCTCAAAGTTACCTAGTGAATGACCTTCCACTGTCAGTGGGTGCAGGGTAACCAGTTTCTTTCATCTACAACATTCAGCCAACAGACAAGGAGACCAGAGCACATCAGCACAGAGCTGGAATACTGTGTCCAGTTTGGGGCTCCTCAGTACAAAAAAAAAAAAACAAACAAATATATTGACATACCAGAGTGAGCTCAGAAGAAGAACATCACGTTGTTTGGGGCAGGAGAACATGATATTCAAGGAGAGACTGAGATAACTGGGCCTGTTCAGTCTTAAACAGAGAAGATGAAGGGGAGACCTTACTGTTGTCTACATCTACCTGATCAGAGGACACAAAGAAGATGGAGTCAGCCTTCTGGGAGGAGCCTGGCGACAGGACAAGCAGCAAAAAAAGCAAGTTGGAACATTGTAAATTCTGATTACATACTAGGAATTTGGGTGGGGTGGGGGTGGTTTTGTTTGTGGGTTGTGGGGTTTTTTTTTTACACCATGAAAGCAGTGAAATGTTGGAACAGATTGCCCAGAAAGGTAATGGAATCTCCATCGCTGAAGGTATTCAAGACTAAACTGGACAGAGCCCTAAGGAACTCCTGTTTTGAGCAGGTGTTGGACTGGATGACCTATGGATGTTCCTTTCAGCATGATAAGGTACAGAGTAATGAAATAAAGCATAAGAGGAATGAAGATCTATGTATCTTTCACTATCTACGAACATCACAGAGACAATCTGGAGGTTGGTTGAGAGACCATGTGGCTGCTGCTCATTAGTGAGGTAAAGGTTAGCCAAGCAAGACAAGTAAGGGGAGAGTTACAGGGTTTGTAGCTACAGAGTCATTCACTACAGCTGGAGGTACATGTACACATCTGCAACTGTTCGAGTCGTTCTGTAACTTACTATCCACAAGTCACGTTTTCTGCTCTTTTGATTTGAGTAGAATTTTTTCACCTTCCTGGTCTGGCCTGATCTATATTCCTCACACTTTTGTTAGCTCTCAACTATCACAACAACAAGGTTTCCACAGGCAAAAAGTCCTCAGCACCTAGGAGGCTCCAGCCAACAAGGAACCGTGAATTGCAGGTCAGGCATTCTCTGCTGGCCACCCTATGCTTGTATAAAACTTTCCTGGAGATAAGCATCAAGACATAGAATTTAAGGCACTTCATAACCTGGATTGTCTAGAAAACACTTAAAGCTTCACAATGAAGACTACATACATCTGTGCTCCTGCGTACATTCATAATTCTTTTCTACTCTACTGTGAAACACCAAGCTTCCTTAGAAGCCAAAGCAAAGATTGAGAATTAACTTCCCAGCAACTTAAAACCACAATAAACCTGGACTGAAACACAAAACATGTTTCTTTGACCCTGCCTTCTCTAACATAAACACATAGCAGTACTGCATTATTAAAAAAGCAACAAAATCAAACATGCAGAGCAATAACATGAAAATTCTTTCAAAGCAAAACTTCACCATGCTTTTATCCATCTGGGAAGAAAATGAGAGAACACACACACACGGCAAATGTTAGCCAGCTGGCCAAACACATGATTAGAATAAGCTGAAGTGCTGTGTGGTAAGAACGGTTTAAGCAGTTCTATAGAACAGAACAGACGGCAAGTCTTTACTTCTCTCTCTGCTTGCCCCAGAGGCTATTATCTAGACTATCACTTAAAAGAGGCTTAAGGCTTGGGGAAAACTTTGCTGACTTGCCAGTTTGCTTTAAAGCGTCCTCAGGTCCATTCACCTGGCAGAGAAACCTCAAACATCTCATGCAGGCAAACCCAGCATGCTGAGCACAGCCTGCAAACTTCCTTCTGTCAAAATAATCTGCTCCAGCAGGATGAGATCTGCCAGATAAAGTGTGGTATAACCAGTGTGTTATAAATTCACTTTGTGACCCCTAAGCAAGTTATTTGGCCTCTTTGCTTCAGTTCTCTGCTGTAACAGAGGCACAGTATTACTCACCTCTCATTCTCTGCTCAGTTTATGAGGATCAGTAACTAAGGTTTGGTAATGGTAAGTGCCAGGAGGCATGCTAGATTTTACATGTTCAGAAAAGGAAGTGCCAAATGCCTCATAGCCCTATTTTTTTTTCCATGTGAAATAATAAGCTAGTTGGATGTGCTTCCGGACACATGTTATGGAAGCATATTTATTTCTTGTGTGCATCTTGGACTATGTCATTCAACACTATAGGCAGGAAAAAGGAGCTCTGGCAGCTTACCTGTAGTTTCAATGCAAGGGTATGAAGGAGGAGGTTTCTGCCATTTCCCATTTGCATCTTTCATATGAGATCTGTCTGAAGCAAACGTCTTTAAGTACAAATCTGCTCGAATCATTCTGATTTTCCTAAATAATAATGAAAAATTGTATCAAAAGATGCATGTATACAGTACTGCATTAGTCACTTAGAACAAGAGCCCTTTCCTCTCATCAAGGAGCATTAATTTCATTAAGCACATAAATCAGCAATATTGTGCCAAGCAGTTAACTAGTTAACAAGAAACTACAGTAGGAAAGAAAAGGGCTTTTGATGACTACAGTAAAGAGCTTTAGAAAAATAACAGTGTATTTATTTTACTGGAGTGTAGCAAAAAACCATTCTCCTACACAGCCACAAAGAGAACTTCAACTTTGATTCCATGAAACAACATTCATGGTCTTTATATTTTATGTCATCACCTGTGAAATTCTGGACGAAGGCTGTCATCCAATCTAAAGGCCTCCACACTGTACATCTCAAAAGGACACGGAAATGGCAACACTGTGTCAAGATCATAAATGAAGTTCTGCTCCCCGCCGGAAACATGAAGTAGAATAACATGGTAGTCCTGGGAAGAAGGGTAATTGCCATTAGTTAAAAGAGCTGTTAAGGAGAAACTGGCAAAGGGAGTGTAAAAAAAATGCTTCCTAAAAGCAGAAGCTACAGATCCCTTCTTTAAATCCTGCTTTCTGCCCTTGAAGTATTAAGCCTGTACCAATTCTGGCACCAGGGGAGAGATTATCCAACGCCTGTCTTGTCCATAGTGCCTTTCCAGAGACCTTGGTATTGTCCCCATTTCTTTGCAGCCTCCTTTGATTGAAGCCTGGACAGCTAAACTAAAGTGTATGCTTCTCCTAAGAAAATAGCAAATCTCTTTCATGTCTCACACCAAAACACAAAAGTTGAGTGGAATAAGCATTTTTGCCTTAGACCCAGTCCTAAATAGAAGCTCACAACAATATATGATGATAGCTTAACATTACAATTATCTAGTGATCTCTTCTAATAATTATTTAGTGATGTCTTCTAATAAGAGATGCTGTACCGGTTGCAGTAACATGGTTTGTGAATTTGAGTGCCAAGTGTTTAGCTGCCAGAAGCACCTGAAAAGACAGGATGCAACTGAAAAAGCAGCAAATGGCTCAGATCAAGAGGACCACAGGAGTAAGACAAATTGCTACACTAGCTCCTGAAGCTGGGAAAAAAAACACCTATGGGTACTATATCACACTTTTTCAAGGTAACTATTTTGTCTTGAAGCTTGAGTCATGAGGTGCAGTTTTGCTCCTTAACTTGTAAGAAACATAGCTGTGGTGGAGGTTAGGAGACACTGCAGTTACTTATACTAGGTGTCAGGTATGTACACTGCTGTCTTCCAAAATTAAATTGAAGGTAGCTGTTAACAGCTTGCTAAAGCTTACATTAAATCCACTCACAAAAAGAGTTTGAAGCACTGTCTTTTGACACTTTCAATATTAAACAAAACCACAAATGGACTGGAATGAAAAAGATCTTGGGCAAACTATTTTGCCAGACCAATGCATATATACATGTGTATGCAACAATATTTAGAAGAATCTTTTACAGAGTATAAGAAAAATTAATGACAAGCTTTACATATCCTGTGATCCACTGAAACATCAAATTTAAAACACCTTTCAGTCCATGAATTTTTATGAGAAATCCACATTCTGCAGTGGCCTTTCCTGACTCTCCTATTCCTTTTTAGATCATCTTCATAACGCTTGGATCTTTTTTTAAACTAAACCTTTTTCATACTATAAATAGACCAATATTTTGGGAGAGAATGAACAATTAGAATCACAGAACTTCAGAAGGTTGCAGATTACTTTGCAGAATTTCAGAAATGGAAATTCCCACAAGAAATAGAATTTTTTCCATGCCAGATAACTGGCAGAACTCTGTAATGATACATATTTGAAAGGAATTCTGTAGTAGCAATTACTGAATTACATTCATTGATCAAATGACACTCCAAAGCCACCATTTATGGGTCAGTTTAATTGCTGACACCCGAATACATATACTGCTTATATTTTTCTATGCTCTGTCAGACTTACATGGATATTTTCCTCCACCTACTTCTTCCAAGTACATACTTCTACTTAAAATTCCACAAAGCTTGTGGCCTCAACAATATCCAGATAATATTTTTCATAAATTCACAAAATGTACTCTTACCAATGTAAAGTTTTGACACCTGTAGATTGTACTGACTGTCTCACTGTTAATTTGCTATGAATGTTAAAAAGAGGCACCAGATTTAGGCTCTTTATAAATCTCCTGCAAAAAAGTAATAAATATTAACAAAAACTATAAAATGGTTGAGGTTGGAAGGGAGCTCTGGAGATCACCTGGTCCAATCTGCTGCTCAAGCAGGGACACCTAGAGCCAGTTGACTGAGACCAGCGTCCAGACAGCTTTTGACTACCTCCAAGGATGGACACTCTACCACCTCTCTGGGCAACCTGCTCCAGTGCTCCATCACCCTCACAGTAAAAAAATGTTCATTTATGTTCAGATGGAACATAAACATAATGGTTTGTTACAGTGAAGATGGCTGACACTGCCTATGTCTGATCCTGCAGCTATCAATTACAGAAGCACGCACTTGAATTCACTGAGAGAGAGAGAAAGAGAGAACAGAATGCCTTACCCAGACAACAGGCTCATCTCCATGTCCCGATTTCTGCTTCCAGAGTGGAATCTGAAAGTTAGATGTTAATAAATGTGAAGAGGATAAAACCGTTCAGATTAATATGGATTAATTTTGGGTTAATTGGTTAGTTCTTTGCTACCTATCCATTTCATCAGCTTGCATCTGTACTGCAGTCAGAAAGTTTTCTCTAGTTTCTGTCTTTCAGGAGCATGAAGTTGGAGATACTATTCAGGACCACGCAATATAATCATTCTCCTAAACTGACGGATTACAGGGAAGAATCACCTCCATAGCTCATAGGGACAGCATGCCTCTTCCCATTGTCCCAAATGCATCAGATAGATAACTACAAGACCTCCTGCGGCGTGGTTTGCACGCCTCTGAGCCAAAGCGAGCTACAGGAGGGTTTTGGACCCTGTCTCACTTACAGGCTGGGCTGTGGTCTAAAGGCCTGGGAGCATGTCTCCCCTCCGTTAGGCTGTGGTTAAAATGCCTGGGCCCACATCTCACCTCTGTCAGGCTGCGGTCTAAAGGCCTGGGCCCACATCTCACCTACAGTGGCCTGCAGTCTGAAGGCCTCAATCTCTCTCTCCATAGATGCATTCAGATCACAGCTCATTGACTCACCATCCTTCTATCATTGGATATGAAAACAGCATAAAACTCTTCTAAGGGGTATTGATCCTGACTCCTGATGTAGTCACAAAGTTTCCAAACGTTTTCCTCGCTGTAAAACACAAGAATTGATTTTTTTTTTTTTTTCCCCAACCGCACTTCCAGCGACCAGGAGGGAGCCGAGAGGCGATGCCTGCGGAACGCTGCCCGGCCCAGAGGGAACCCCACTTGCAGCCGGAGGCTCCCCAGGTCCCGCCCCCGCTGAAGAC